GCAGGCACGAAACGGGAGCTTGCCTGGTTTGGCAGAAAGGAGGGCGCTTTCAGGTAGCTTTCGCATGAGTCTCCCATGTGAGAGCTTCGTCCTCATCTGTCGAAGTTTATGTCTCCTCAAAGTAAGGTCTGTTACGTTGAAAGTGGTATATATATAACAATCTTCTGATAAGTTAATTATGTAGGTGGTGCCATTCCGAAGCAAATGTTGCTAGAAAAAGTATCCATTCTATTTTGGCGTAATCATTATTGGAATTGTACATAAATGTGTATCTTTATGAACCAAGTCTTGAACCATTAGATGCGGAATTGGTTTCTTCCCCTCATGCTCATCCAATTGTATATGATAAGCCAATATGGGAGGAGAGATCAACTTTGTAGTGACTCTGTGTCAGGTTGTACCATTCTGACTAGCAATCACTCAGGAGAGACCCTTTTGTTATTGATAAGGCATAGATCCCACTGTAGAATTTCTTACCCTATCAAGGTCTTAAGACAAATTTCAAGACTGGGGTTTATCCCTTCTTCCTGGACATCGAATGGTGCGTACATTGTTGAAATGAATCTAACATCTGGATAACTCAATGTAAACTTCCCTACATGGCACAAAAGGGCCCCATTTCTGTCATACTGGACCTCACTTAGTAGGGGCAACTCAAAAATGAATTTATAGATCTGAATGGCCTGAAGCTCTCTTATCTGAGGTTGACATATTTCTGGTGTCAGTTTCTCAAACTCAAGGCTGCCCTAGGCAGTCATCATGAAGTCAGTTGGAGTTCTCTGGGACTATGTGCAACCTTTGCTCCTCAACTAGAAGCTGGTCCTGCTTCTTTGCGTCCTCACCATCTTCAATGTCTAATGTGTCATTACCCACCTTTTCAAGCACACCCTGCTCAGTGAAACATATCTCCTTTTAGTTGTGCATTCTGATTCAGGATGCTCAAATTCGTGACACTTGCAACACTTCTTAGCTGAGATAGATTTAGGGATGAGGATTGGGTCTACCTTTGAAATTTCTATCTATAGTAAGTGTCAGTCAACTTTTTGAAATAGGTATATAAATTTTGTTTTTGAAAGTAATGTATTTTAATTTTTGAAAAAAATGAGATCAAATAGATCTCATTCGTCCAATAATCCATATAATCATGCCCGATACTGCGAATATTACACCTTTTCCGATAGATAAGTGTATACTTTGACAATGGACCCAATCATACGAACTAAGAGATTTGTGACATCAGTTTGGTCTGCGAACCATTTATGCGTGACAGACAAGTTTCCTTATCTAATACAAAGATTCAATAATGTTTATTTTACTTAGGTTCAAAGTTCTCTATGGAGTCAAACCTCTATAGTTAATTACATCCCAAATGACTGTGGTCACTTGAGAAAACTCTCGATAATGATCAGATGTACTAGTCTTCAAAAATTCAATGTTTAGGTTTTAATGGCAGGACGTGGAAAAACAAGTGAGAGTGACTCAAGTAAGAATAATTATTTTTAGGAGTCGAAAGAAATAAATGGTAGTGCTCGTTACAGATCCTAAGGTCCCCCAGTGACTTCCCAAATTATCCTACTGTGTGGCTGCATTCTAGAGACGATATTATTTAATTATTCAATCCTGTTAATTTTATTATTTGAGATTTACATTTGTATAATACCTGATTATGCAAATAGCTTGCGAAGACGTGAGGGTTTACGTCGTACCGAATGACAACCTCGAAATTTTAAGTCGAGTTATGACTTATATTGCTTAGCATGACAGTGCAGGAGTTTAAAGATAAGTTGAGGATTTGTGCAGTGCTAGACGGACTACCTCCAAGTCCTATAACCTGTTGTTATTTAGACTAAGGGGAGAGATTGCTGAAGAAGATCCTCTTATTTTTCGATCCAAGCTCCTCGCCATGCTGCCGACGAAGTTGGCTCACAACCTCCTGCTGTAGTAGTAGCTCCACAGTTTAAGGATTGTGGGAGAAGGAAGGGCGAGCTGAATGAGCGGGAGAGGCGAACAACTAGGGTTTTTGGTGCCGAGAGGGAGAGGTGAGCGGGTGAGTGTTTCGGTGCCGAAGGGAGGAGTTGAGTGGGGGACTTTTGTGCAGAAGGAAGGAGTCGAGCGAGAGGAGGAAGAGGCGAATGCTTTCGGGGTCGACATCGAATCTAACTGAAGGAGGGGAAGTTTTCAGTGAGCGCCTGTGATTTAAATGCCGGGGAGAGGCTGTATAGTCGAAGAGACGTTTCACGAAGTATTGGCGGTGAATTGAATGAATTACATTCATGTAGTCGGTTCAATTAGGCAAAATTTTAACGCCTGATTTCTTTCTATTAAAGTAAAATTAAACAACTTATTATTTCTAATTTGAAATTCAAATTTTGAAATTAAGAAGCGGTTATCGGCCCGATCTGGTACCATTGGGCCGTATTCAGTTCGAATTGAACCTGCGCTGAGCCCAAACCCACCTTCCTAATTAAATATTAGTGTGCATCGATTTTCGTGTCATTCGCCCACGTGCAAAATTATAAAAATATGAGTGTCCTTCATAGCTAAAGTCGACGTCCCGAACGCTCTTGCGTTGTTTGTTTCGTTATCCGAGGTCGTCCAGACAAGTTTGGCAATGATCAGGTTAAAAATGCGTCAAAATTTAATTTTTCTTCGAATTTTGAGTACGTGACGGGTCATTTTGAAAATTGATTTAGTTTGATTGTCGGTGCAGTGTGTGTAAGTGTCAGTGACGTGAATTGTTAGGTTTAGGCGGGTTGAATGCGTGAATTGTGGTGTTTGCATAGCCGAGTCACGAAGGGTTTACCTAAGGCCTCTAATTCTATAAGAACTCATTTTTGAGCCTTCTACATGTTGGTCATTAGCCCTTGCAACTAAAAGCTGAGTACTTGAGACCACTCATGCGAGGTCTTCACAAAAATGGGTCAAGAAGTGGTTGAAATTCTATGTGAGGTGAGTTCCAATACTAGTCCTCTAAGATGGTCAACAATGAATTCCTAAAGCTAGACCCTAGGTCCTAGGAGGAAGAAACCAAGATCTCACTAGAAATGTGGTCAACAGTAAGCTGGTAGGATTTGGCGCTGGATCTCCAACTTCAGTTTTAGATTCTTCCGTTCTCCATATGCTAGCTCTTCTCTCGGCATCCTCTTATATTGGATTCCACAACGAAGTGGCCGACCTTCTGCATCACTGAAGTCCTTAATATGAAAGTGATTCAGATCCTTGTCTCTTGCTTCCATTGATTTTCTAGATTTTGGTTGAGGATAATCTCCCTCTGAGTTTCATCCTTAATTTCTGCAAGCCTCCATTGATGTCGGCGGATCTCTTGCTGTATCTCTTCCTGCGTAGGCTCGATCATGTATATCCTTGATGGCATGGCTAGGGTTTGGAGTAGAAGGTGAAAGAGGACAAACAAAAGATTTGGGGTTTCTGATTTTGAAAATCAGTAAGGGGAAATTAGGATTAGGTCAACGTTTTGGCTATGTTTTGGGAATAAGAAAGAAAATTTTTGGTGGAGGGGTAAGGTCGATGCTAGGAAATCCTAGGATATGACTAGGTTTAGGTTAGTTTTGATATCAAATGATGTCAGAGTTAACCCAAACCACAACTGTAAAATAAATAATATTACTAAAAACAAATAAACGGTTACAACCAACACACTTGAAAGGTCCCGGGTGATGATGGTGGCGGTTAGAAGATTGGGAAAGGTGGTGGAAAGGTAAGGGAAGGGTTTCCGGGCTATAATAGAGGAGCAACAACGATTTTGGGTGGCTGGAATGCCCGGGCAGCAAGGGAAGACATTCTAAACAGCGGCAGTTTGCTATTTGGGGTGTCTGGATGGCGGGAAAGCAGCAAGGGGGAGTTTTTGCGGCGATGGCAGCAAGCTGGAATGAGGGGAACAACTGGCCGGGTGGTTGGAACAGCAGAAAACAGCCCAAAACTGCTTTTTCCGGGCGGCAACAGTGAGCGGGAATGGCGGTGGCAGCGGCATTGTAGGCGCGGGACCGCCAGAGGAGAACCGTTTGAGGGCTGCAGCAGAGAGAAGTATGCCTTGGTGGCGAGGAGCTTTAGGGAGACAGCAACAGGAGTGCTGTCGGGGCGGCGTGCAGCGATGGGGAATGCGAGGCAGCGAAGAGGGAGGAATGCGGAGGAGTTGGGGAAAGATAAACACCACCTGGAGACCACGATACAATCGAAGCACCACGTGGAAACCAAGATACAATCTTCGAAGGGAAGAAGATACGCTGCTGACTCGGTACAAAGCACATGAAAAACTAACCCTAAAATATTAGAAAAGCAAGTATATAATAAAAGGATAGTGAGGAGTGGCCCGGTAGGGCCTGTCGAATCCAATACAACAAAAAAAAAAAAAACCTGACCTGTTCAGTCCAGGCTTGAAGCGTGGGCCCGCCTGGTTGTGGTACTGTAGCATAGTGCCAAAAATAGATGCGGTACTGTAGAAAGACGCGGTAAGGAGGTCTCTCTTCCGCATCATAGAGGAATCAGTTTCTTGATATTAATGTTGTTAATCGGTTTTGCATATATTAATTACTTTATAATTTTGCTTCCTGCATTATGCTACAATACAATGGAGGAAGTGACAACCAACTTAATAGATAATTTCAGGTCATTGTTACTGCTGTCTGTGCGCATGGGTGATTTTCTATTTTTTATGATGCCATGACACTAAAAAAAAAGGCACCCAATTCTCGCATATTTACATTTATAACACCTAAACTTTACTTTTTTATATTTATACCACCCAAATTGTTCATGTCACATCAAAAGTACCACTATTTTAACTTTTAAAAAGTGAAATACACCTTTTCACATGTAGGTAAGCTGGCATATATGTAAAAAATGTAGTTTAGATGTTGGATCTGTAAATTCATAAGATTTGAGTGGTATGTATGTATTTGGATGATTATTATGGTTGAAAGTAATGCAATCTGCTTGTTTTGCTTCTATCTTCTTATGGCATGATTCAGTCCTTTTTTGACTAGGGTCCTTTTCGACTTGTAGCCGAGGAGGGAAAGTCTAATTGTTCATGGGTCAGCCTTGATGATATAACTACCTGCTTGAAACGAGGTATACATCTGTTTTCTTGCCATTAATAGTTCTTTTAATAAGTCTACATTCATTTTCATGCTTGATTAATTGTTTTCCATATTAGCTTTTGCTTGAAAGCTTATCATAAATAGCATCAAAATCCTTATCTCAATGATCTAAGACAAATTTTATCAATTCTTTTTTTTTATTCATTCTTGCCAAGTGCTTTAGTATAAAGGCTTGTTGTTGTTGTTACCAAGTGCTTTAGGAAATGTTAAACATATTTTCTGCAAATTATTTTGCATATTTCATATTGATGTTTCTTCTGGTCCGGCCCTTTTATTTCTAATCCTTCAAAACGTTAATGCTATTTACCACTTTATTATTCTATTTTCTATAATTTGCTATACGTGTTAAAACAAAATTCAATTTTCACTTGTCTATTTTCAATAGAGGCCACTCCTATTATCCCTCTAATATAATCATCTTTTAATTTATTCTTTTTAGTTTATATTTTATTTGTTGTGATTATTTCTCAATCCCAAAACCTTTTTTGCCTGAATGCTGAATTTACATACCTCGCTCTTCCATTTTGCATTAAGGATGAGATATGATGTTCCAGTACTAAATGATCCTAAGGTTATATATGTCGAACCTACTTTTCTATTTGTCATTTAGGATGAGATGTTATATTCCAGCAGCATATGATCTTGAAATAAGCATATTGAACCGGTTATGCTAAATTTGTTGTTTGTTTGTGCTGCTCTCCAATTGCTTGAGTTGCAATTTTCTTGGTTTATCAGTGCCATGCTGCTTGTTCGGTTAGTCTTTGCTTTGGTCAGCATATTGTTAGTCACCCGTGATTGAATGTGGTTGCCTTCAAGTAAGGATTGTTATATTCTTTGCCAATGGCATTTATCTGATCTTGTTTAGGCCTCTTCTAAAGCTCATTGTAATCTTTTTAAAACTTTTCCTATTACATTTACACCTCTGATAATCTGTTAATCAAGTTGATATACTGCATATTGAAGCTATATAAACTAAGGGCATCGAAATATCTTGTTAATAGCTCCAGTTAGTGGGCTTTGATTTACAAAAAAAGGACTCCATATGATTGTCGGCTAGTTAGTTTTTCAATTCAAGGATTAGTAATGTTTAATGAAATGCTCAACTCTTATAGGACTGTTTTCTATGCTGTAAACTTGAATTATGTAAAAGAATTTAAAGAAATTTAGTAGTCGAGTTATATTTTTCACTTTATTTTTTCGAACAACTAAGGGGAAAAAGACATGAGAGGAAGCTTTAGCTAATTGAAGAAGGGTAGTCTTGTGAGAATGTCATATGTTTGACTACAAAATATGATGTTTATCTTTATCATTTTCTACATGAACTCATTTTTACAAAATACACTTGTAGATGGGTAGTCTTGTGAGAATGTCTTCAGTTTGATGTTGATTTAGAGTATGCTAGAGATATGATCTTGCTTTTTTATCATCTTTTTGATGAAGTGTCGGTCAACATGCTTTATATGATCATTATGCACATGATTTTAGCAATTTTTGTTGCTTGATTATCATGCCGTTGCTTCATAATTTCTTCTACTTGTGAATAATTCTCTACACATTCCTTCACATATTAGGTGAGCCTGTCTTAAACTTATCTTTTGTATTGCTTTAGGCAACCACACTACTTCTTAGTGCACCACATTACTTAAAATTTGCACATAAATGTATAATATTGCCATATACCGCTCCCTATGACGGCCCCTCCTAATCAAACATATAAAATTACAAAGTTAATTATGGCTTAAATGACTGAATATATTGTTAGCTCTCATTCTGAAATTTTACCCATTAGAATCAAGTGAGTGATAAACTTAATCATCTTAATGGTCCTAGCATTAGTTAATTGAGCAGAAGCATTTTAAAACAACATTTATTTTAACTATAGTGCCTCTAAAACTTTCATAGATCAATATCATAAAAAAAAAAAAAAAATTATATATGAGTATCTTATTGAGAGATAATTAACCATAAGAGATCGCGAATTTGGAAAATCTGAAATCAAAATTTAAAGAATTTGTAAAGTAAGTCCAGTATCTTTAGGTAATGTCTTATATAAAATTTTACGTCGAATGAAAATTTTACTTGGAACAGAATAAAAACTCTCATAAAATACCGGGACATAATTTTTTGAAGCCCGCATTTAAGGATTGCATAAATGTTAGCTTGACCCAATGATAATTCGCCTATAATAGTTAAAGAGAGCGGCTTAGTAAGCTTCAAGATTTTCTTCTTAGGTAAGATGAGTGGAGAGTTCATTGAAAAGCTTTTGCTGTGATGGAATGGACTCTTAGTTAAAATATAAGGAAAAATATGCATAGGGAGAGGGGTGCAAATTTGAAGACCAAAAAAAGAAAAATAATTGCAATCAATAGAAAGCTGAAAATTCGAAGAAATGATAGTAGGAGCCTTCTAAAAAATAGGAACAATTGATACCTAGAACAATGGCTGAATTGGAGGAACCTCTTCACTCGCAGGAACATTTAAGGAGAGAGGCGACAACAAATGAATAAGAATTGAAGAGGGGCGAGCTGGTGAGAGTTGCATATTATGGATAAGGATAAGAGCGGTAAGGATCTATAATGGGGCATGAAAGTTACTTGGAGGGAGTGCAACCATTGGTGAAGGAAAAAAGAAAACACGATCGTAAATAAGGCTGTCCGATAGAAGCCATTAAGTAATTTTAGTGCATGCAGGCAGGAATGTGCGAGCACAAATGTATGATTTGTGAGTACCCATTGGGAGCGTTAATGCAGAGACAAGCATAGAGACAATGCCGAATGTGACCGGGATGGAGTCCACCACTCATGCCCTTCTTGCAACAAGGTCACCATGGCAGAGCACCACTTTGCAAGGTGTTAAGACTTACATTTTCCTTATAGTTAAGGAGATCTTGTCTAAGGATACTTTTGAGAATATTGAAAACAGGTGCAAACAAAATTGTCTCTCTTTCCTCTCTTTACTTTTCCCTTACCTTATCCCTGACTCACTTTTGTGCCCTACTCCACATTAGATTGAGAATAAGTTTCCGAGTGAATAAACTATAAAGTATCGATTGTTGAAGAATAGAGGAAAACAATGGTAAAATGTTCATTTTGTCATTTTGCCACTTACAATTGACAGGAAATTAGTGAAGTGATTTAGGGCATATTTTTTTTGGTTTGTGTTGTGAGTAATTGATTTAAATGTTTTGTATAGAATTCATGTTTGCAGGGTCAGTAGTGCCACATGCCATTTATTTTTTCAATTTGTGGTTAGAGTTGATTTTCTTATGAGAATACATTAGTCAACCTATATTTTCATATTGTCTGTGCTTCTTCTGGCTTCATTGTGTTTATCAACCAAATAATCTGATATTTGTTGCTAACCCTGCCTGATATAACCTAACAGCACATTTCCTAGAGAGCAGTATTCCATTTTAAGCAGTCTTCGATAATTTAGAAGCTTGACCATAAATTGATTATTTTTTGCTCCTTTTTTTAACAATTGCAGGAGATTCTGAGAAATCTCAACACCATCGGGTGGCAGAGTTGCAACGATTGCGATCCATGTAAAAATTTAATCCTATTCTTTTGCACTTTTCATGTTTTATTTTTTTGCAGCTAAAGTAAATAAATTTAGAAAGTTATAATATTTTGTTGAAGGCAGCAAAAATTCTTGCATCTTACAAAATTACAAGTGAAAGTTTTTTATAATATTTCAAACTTCAATTTATGACATACTAACCAAAAAATTCCATCCCTTCAACAACAGCAGGATCTAAATATTTCTAAAGCTTGTTTGTTCTTGTATAACAATTTGTGCCGATATCGTTCTATCATGTAATCATAATGCGTGATCGTATAAAATTCTAGTTCTTTTGAGCTGACACTAGGAGCTATTGTCGTCACACTTGAGTCTCAGACGGTTCATCTTAAACTGGATAAGGTAAATGATGAGGTGGTCTTTTTCACAAAATAACTCGGGAGCCACAATGGAGATATGAAGGTCTGTGTTATGTATTTATAAATAAATTGCATAAGTGGATATGAATTGGTGATAGATCAGCTGTTAAAGCAAATATGGTGCATATTGGAAGCTTAGCCATAAGAAATTAAATCAACATAAGGTTATGGTGGTTAGATTTTTCAGATTGGAAAAAAAAAACATATTTGCGATTGCATGGTGACATAGAACTATATTCTGCCCCTAACAGAAGACCCCTGTATACATATAACTATTATGAACATTGTGGTTTAGTTTGAAGACGATAGGGCAGATTGAAGTCACATTTCAGAGGCTCACTTCTCTTGTCACTTCTACTGGCTCTGTTGCTGGGCTTTTGTGATCACACAAGCATTGACATGCTTTTTTTGGGTTCTCCTATTTCACTTTCTTCCTTTGTGTTGCTCGTGAATAACGGATTTTATCTTGGACTCAATTAATCGAACACTCTCTTTTGCGCATGGTGATTTTCACACTTTATTTTGGTTTTGTACACCCATTTTCTTTTTCTGTTCTCCTGGGATATGGCTTTGCTCACACTCTCACTCAGTTAGGGCTATCAACCTGAATTTTTCTTACACATGAGGCCATTTTTTTTCCTTTAGAAAATTCTTTTCTGACTTTTGTGGATTTCTTCTCTTTGCTCGCTATCATCATCGTGCTTGTTTACTTCAACTATGGATGGTGCTTTGGTTGACGTTTCGCCCTCTGCTTTGGACCTTCGTCTTTCTTTATCCCCGGTTTCTAAACAGATCTCATCTCATCTCTTTCCAATAATGGCTATTCCTATGTTTTTGAATGAACTCCCATTTTTGTCACCTCCTCTTTCCTCGTAGTTTCTTTCATCTTAGAGGCTTCTATTTTTGTACTAGTGTCAACATATTTCCTTCACTTATTGTGTGGGCTTATATAGCCATTGTTTCTTCAGCTGTTTGTGCTCGTCAATACTCTTCTCTTCTTATTTGGAGATTGAAGGTTTCTGTTTCTCATCAGGTTTCACTTACCCAATTTTCATTTTCTTTTCACTACGGATTAGACCTTCCTCAACATGAACATTCCTTCATTTTTTTTTTGGGATAAAACAACTCATATTTACTTTAAACTTGAGAATTTTTAGCTAGTTATTCTGTTTTTCCTCTAAATTTGTGTGTATGCTTTTGCTGTGGGCACCAAACCTTCATATTATTCTTTCATTTCTTCTAGACTTATATTTCGCAGGTGAACATTCTATTATATTTTTTTGATTCTTGCCATATTATTACCAGACTATCGTCTGAAATTGCTCTCGATCTTTTTCTCATCTAACCTACTGTATTTGTAGTTATCGGATGACACTAATCTTGGGTTATATGACGTTGTGGGAAGATCAAGAGGCGAGTTAGGAGTTCTAGGAAGGAGACGGAGGGGAAATTGGAGGTGGTAACGGGAGAATCAGTACAACCAATGATTGGATAGTAGTCAAACAGGAGTTGCAGTGAACCGACAACAAGAGATATACGATGTTGGAGGGTTGTTAGACGTCTAGGAGAGATCATCACATTAATCCAAGTAGGTTATAGTCATACCACTTGAGAAAGATCAGTGATGCAACACTCCGGTAAAGAAAAACTAGAGAGAACATTCTCAATTGCATAAAACCAAAGTAGCAAATCTCCAAATCAATACATAACAAATATATAAATAGTTTTCAAGCAAGATAACCTAATACTAGTGCTAATTTAGGGAAAAAAAAAGCTAAGGAGTCAACCCATTATCCTTGGTGGGTGGAACGTGAAATATTCAACAAATTAACCAGAATTTTTGGCTTATGGAATTTCTGACCTTTTTCCCATCTTGTGTCTCACAACATGATGTATGCATCCTAAGGTGGTCTTTGCATTTTGACTCATCCATGGCTTCGTGTTCCGTTTCTGTAATCGGGGAGAGGAAACAACAAAACTAAAGAAGTGGAAGGGAGGAGTTGAGCAAAGGGGAGTCTAATCGAGAGGTCAGATTGTCGAAAAAATTAGAGATGAATCGAACACCCGGGAAGAGAAAATGAGGGGAACGGGAGCCAACAGAAGAGTTCGCCCTATAAATTGATGAAAGAGGCTAGAGGTGGGAGCTCTCGTGTGTGCGATCAGAGAGCAGAGGAAGGAAGGAGAAGATTGCATGTCTTCTTACCCGAAGCAACGACGTGGCAACATCGTGCACTATGATCGAGGGAAGAAGATTGTAGCATTGGTGTGTCGAGCTGCAACGTCGACCGTGTGGGAGCTAAAGCCAAAGTTCCCGCGTCGTTCAAGGACAGAGAGGATAGAGAGCGACTGACACAAGGAAGAAGACCGAGCTAACTTCAGAAGGGGGAAGGAAGGGGGAAGGAGTTTGTTGCTTTGTGAAGGAAGACACGCCGAGAAGATAAGGGCCATGCGTAGAAGAGGAGAGGAGCATCATGCGGTATTCTTTGTCGTGTTCGACCGTGCCCTAGCTTGTCATCTCTTGTGCGACAGAAAGAGGTAAGGGTGATCTTTTTATTAAGTTTTAATAATAATAATAATAATAATGATAATTTTAAAATATATATTTATTGAATAGAGAAAATAAGTAAAATAATGAAAATTTTATACTTAAATAACATAAAGTTAATAATCAATATAAATTGTAAATTTTTATATATAATAAATAAATTAAAGTTTAGTAATATAAATATCATATTTATGCTAGATTTCCAATTTTAATGAATCAACGTCAAGACAAACTAAATAATAAAGTAATCGATATTGAGATAAATACTTATGTTCTTATACTATGATAATATTTTGCTCATTCTTGATTAAATGCATTTACTGTTATTGTTGTAGTACCACATACACATGGTTAATGATTCTATTTAATTTTGTTCATATTGTAAGAATGATTTGTGTCCTCAACTTTGTTTAAATTATCATTGAATCTTGCACATTAATAATGACTGCTATGGAAATAAGAATGAAATATTTTTTTATTAAAAATGTAATATTTATATAGTGTGCTTGTATGTGCATGAATAGTTATGGTGAAGTCACCTATTGATGGTTTTAGTGGAGAAACACTAAGGTGCTCGTTCACGTATATGAAAAATGATGTTGATATTGAATTACCTTAAGTAGTACAATTTTTTAAACGGTGGTCCTGTGTGTTACAGACATAGAATGATATTAGTATGTTATTGATATAGTAAGATTCATTGAATAGTATCTAAAATATTTGTAGTGATTTATTAATAGCTTAATTAGTATGCTTATTGATTTTTTTTCTTTTGTATTATTATCGTTTAAGAGTATGAATATTCACTGATTTGTTTGGTCCACTGTTATTTTTAATCTAATTTTTAGGTTAATTGAATTTATTAAAAGATGAACGATAGAAGAGAAAATTTTTATAAAAGATGCGGACAACCAGTATCAAGATAAACTTAAATATACTATTTTAATTTAATTAATGGCTCTTTTATCTTTTTAATTGTAGATGAATATAGAAAATTTAATTTCCACTTTCCAACATTTTATTCCTGTTTTGGTTAATTCTAAGCCTTAGGCCGGGTTGTGGCATATGAAATCTTTTATCATTTTAGTTTGGTCTTCTTTTTCATAGTTTTGATTACACTATTTCAATTATTCTAGATTGAATTCTCTATATTTTTTTTGGCAAATTTTTGCAAGTATTTGCCGCCATCACTCATCTTCTAGACCTTATTGAGCTCGGGAGCTAGTTAATATTTGGATCAAACACGTAGAATTAGAGCTTTTAGGCTCTCCTCATGCTGTACTTAGTCGTGAGGAGGTTTTAATAATCTCATCCATTTATAATTTGATATTATAGATCTTTCGGCTGTGCTACTCCTCCGTCATCACTCCTGGTGAGAATGACTTTGCTACAAATTCTGAATGACATTCTGAGTTAGATGTTAGTTTACCTTAATATTGAAGCCCAAGGGTATAAGAGATCATTTATTCTATTCCTTAGGATGGGCAGAAATTACAAGAATATTTACTGCCAACTTTCTACACTCAATGCTATAAGGACGGTGCTGCAATTGAAAGCTTGTAACGATATCTTCACCTGTTATTGGATAATTTCTATTTTATCATCATATTGTGTTGAATGGTGTTTTTGTTTTATAATTTTGTTAAAAAAAAATCATTGCAGTTTAAGTTTTATTTGCAAGTCTAGGAGTTAAAGTTACCTAAAAGAGATGGATGGTAAGGAGGCATGCAAGCATGCAATTTTTATGGAAAGAAAAGAAAGTTTGCAGAAAAAAATTATATTTGTGGTCACCCCTGGTATCATGAGTGTCATAACTATTTTGGTATTTGGAATTGTTAATCTAAAATGAGTAAAAGTCCAAAATAGTCCCCTTACTATCAACAAGTGATCAATTTAGACCCAAAATTTTGAATGCATAAGAATTGGGTGGTATATATGTAAATGCCGCAAAACATTAATAAGTATACTTACGTGGAAAGCATAGAAAATGACAATCTATGTGAGTTTTTTTGTTGTATTTTGATGCTTATATTAATGGTATGTGTTCCTATAAGATAATTTTGCCCGAAATTCCTCACTAGAATAGGATAAATTTGCCCATCATAAAAATTAGATTCCCAAATCATCCTACATAAGGGGTGATTATACTTGTAGCGTCTTTAAAGGTTAGCCAAATATATAAATAAATCAGGAAGAAAGAATAGTTATGCCAAATTTGTATGAATGAAGTATGTAGAGAACTAAAAATGCAGTTTATATTATGGATTGTTTAGGAGGGTTTGATTCAATTTTGAACATTAGAACATGTCATTTTAACTTGTGCTCTTGCATTTCTTTTTCAGAACAACCTAGGATTTAGAAGAAATGAGATTTTCTTGCAAAAGTAATTTAAATTGAAATATTTATGCAACTTTTTTTACCATCTCATCTATCGGAATTCATGAATCAGCACATGTATATTGTCTTTATAGAAGTATCATTTGCTAAAAAAATTATGAATTATGTATATAATAATTACCACAAACAACCTGCTGTTGATGCATGTCTGCTTAACTGGCTTTTTATTACTGTATGTTCATTGTGATCTTTCTTATTACTTCAATGTGAGCAAGTTTCTTCCAAATGTCTTTTGCGGCTTCATTTTTCTGAAAATTCCTATGGAAAAGTTTTATTTTTAGGAGCTGCAGCATGAATTTAGTTGATTACTCTCTCCCTTCTACTTCTATGCCATCTTATTGTCAGACAAACCTATATTTATGTATTTTGCAGTCATTGGATCTAGTCGTTAAGCATTTTTGAAGTAAATTATCTGTTTAAGGCTCTAAAATATTTTTCTGAAGGTTGTGCCATCAGATCATCTGATAATTTTCGTCTTTTTTTCTTCCCTCAGATTTTGTTTAGATCAAAAACATTTACTTCAGAATACAGCGATGTTCGTTCACTAATAAATTTTTGCATATAAATTGGTCTGTATCACTCTGCTGTGCTATGCATACCAACACATTAAAAAAAAAAGAAAATTGTATTTCCTGCAGCGTATGTAAGTTGTTTCCTAATTGTTTTCACTGCTATTTTGTTAAAGTTATTCTCTTAAATTTTATTATTATTATTTTTATTTTAATAATCCAACTTCATTAGTCTCTTTTTATCCTCCATAGTTTATTTACCTTACCTAGCCTTGTCATGTCCATAGTTTTGCGACAAGTGAAAGACAATGGGTAGAAGCTCAAGTTGAGAATGCTAAGCAGCAAGCTATTCTCTCGATGCTCAAGTCTCAAATTTCATCGGATGAAGCTCACATTCATCATGATATTCAATCTCTTAGGTAGAGTTTCTCTTTGATCAATTATGCGGTGTCTACAAGCAGTTAGCTTTTTTATTTTCATAGATGTCTTGGAATCTTACTCTTAAACTTATTATTTTTATAGTTTCCTTCTTTTATATTTTTTTGGGGCATTTACATACACACGACATAATTCTTGTATATTTACATATCTAACACCTAAACTTTCATATTTGTACACAGAACACTTAAATCTTTGACATCACATCAAAAATACCATTATCATTATTTTTTTTAAAGTGAAGGAAACTTTTTGATGCAGAGGGTTTCAATACCAATGTGCTATAAATGTATATATCAAACTTTAGGTGTTAGATATGTAAATGCATAAGAATTGTGTGGTATGTATGTAAATTGTATATTATGTGGTTATATATTTCCTATGTCATAAGGGGTACCTTTCCCTCGAATGCTTGGGCTTTTAAATACTTCGTATGTGAGCACTTGGAATTTTGTGGTTAGTCACCAATCATTTCTCCCTCGCTCTTTCTGTAAAAATTAGTAATTCATTGTTTATGCAATTTTATAATTACTAATCAAAAGAATGGATTCATACTTCCCCATTTATGGCATATTCCGATACTCTGTTAAAGAACCAGAACTGGAATACATATTTTAATCTTCTCTCAACGTTTCTCTCTCTACGGTAGGATAATATCTTAAAAACTTTTTATATCCACAGAAAAAACTGGTTTAATGTGCATTCCACATATGTTTATGCCATATTAGAAAATTCTTTAGATGCAAACATGTACTTTTCCTTAACCTTCCTGTTTTATGCAACACTTTCAGAGATGATATTGAAAATTCACGGATCAAAATAAATCAGCTCCATTGTTTTTGTTAGTTATTCCAATTAAAATGGAAATGAATGGATAATATTGCTTTTGCTAGATTAAAAGAATTTATTTTTTTCATTGTCGTCTAACAATCTAATTTTTATTTTATAAGTTGCACTCACATGAAATGTGATGCGGGATACCCTTTTCCTGCATACACAGCTCCCGTGATCTTGAATTTTGCAGTACCGTGGTTTGCGGTTCTGCCATCACTGTACTCCAACCGTCTGAGAGTTTTTATTTCATTCTTTTTTATTTTCCGCAAGTTTTGATCTTTTGTTTCTTCCTATTTTATTATTTTCTAATTAAGCATTTTCTATTATAAGATTTCAATATTTGTTGTATTAGGGTTTTGAATTTTTAGTTTTGTTGTTTTGATGAATTTAAGACTTTGTCTGATTTCTACCTTTCAGAGTGATTTCAGAGTGTTTTATTCTCTTCATTTTGTAAGTGGTGTTTCTATATCTTCCTTAGGAATAGATGGTGGAAACCCCTCACCGCACACATCTCGCTGTGTCACCATCTAAGTTACTTATTTCATCCAGGATAGCCATTGACGATGTCAAATCTATTGTCCAAAAACAGATTGGTCCTCGTAATCCCTTTCAAACATTGTCGATCACATATATATCCTTCCCCGACTATTCCACAGCTATCTTCTCGCGAAATCCGCCTCTCAAATATAGGAGCCCTAGAATAATGTCATCTGGTATCAGAGCCCGATGAACCCTAAATTTTTTAGGATGTCTTTCCTAGCTCAAACTCAAGATTCGAAAAGAAAAAAAAATTCCACTATACCCAAACCATTCAATAGCGCAATTCCTATCCTAAACTCAAAATTTTCAAAAATCAACCTTCCTATACCCACCAAAATTTCACTTTGAGGCTGACCACCAAAATCCTAGCCCTAATTTTTTTTTTTAATTTTAGCCGAATACTTGGTTGGAAGAACGAGACTAAGAGGATCTTTTCTCTTCATCGCTGCGTGGAAAAAAATGGAGAAAACAGGATCCTCTTGTTTGGATGCTAGGCGTGTCGACCTTTTCTTCCACCGCGATGTTAATATTTGACAAATTTAAATGCGAGAACCGCCGAACGTTTTGTGCACCGTTTAGCGTTAAAGTCGGTGTCGTTGAAAAAATTGGGTTATTATGGTCCTTTTTAAGAAAAACGCGAAATCAAAATATCTTTTTCAAACAATACTATTTGGTGCAGTAGAAAGAATTCGTTATAAAACTTTTCCTCACTTAAAAGGATTTTTTAGAACGCCCATGCTTTCTCAGATGGAGTCTCAGTTAGGCGATCAAGAACTTACTATGGAGGATATGTAGTGGAAATCCTTCAATTTCAATAGAGGTTTGTCGCCTTTGAAAGGAGACAATCTGATGAGATCATCTATAGCCACAACGGTGATTTGCTAGATTGAGAAGAAGTGAATCTCTTTCCCCAGGAAATTTTCAGCGATGAAGAGCTTATACCCTGACGATTTAGCATGACATATCCACTGAGAAGCCATGATTTTTTAGTGAATATTGATTTGCCGATTTTGACTCTTGCATGGATCCAGACGAATTCATCGATTGACTCCAGACAGTGGAACAAATATTTGAATACAAGGATTTTCCATCGGATAGAATGGTAAAGCTAGCAGTTATAAATTAAAGAAGAATGCTTCTTTGTGGTGGGAAAATTTGAAATGCTTAAGCCAACGAGAGTGAAAAACAAAATCACAATCTGGTTCAAGATGAAAAGGGAGATGCAGTGCATGTACCTCCCAACACATTACCGAAAGAATATGTTCATAAAACTCCACTACCTGCTCTAAAGAGAGTCTTTAGTGGAGTACACAGTTTGAATTTGATCAACCTATGTTGAAATGTGAGTTGGTGGAACTAGAGGAGCACATAGTAGCGAGGTACCTTGGAGTATAGAGGCCACCCGTTGTCAATATGGTCCAATTACGGCCTTATTGGACATTACAGGATGTTCAGGCCCGAACTTAAAAGGTGGAGAGACAACACAACAATATCAGGTTTCCCATAGTTCAACCTCAGAATCAAGCATCAAGAGTACACAAAGTGAAGCATCCCAACTTACTCCGCCAGAGTAAAAATGAGTTCAAAGTAGAGACACCTATCACTTCCCAAATCCAGTCCAATTAGGAAATGCTTCAAGTGCCCCAACTTTGAGACATTGCATCTTATTGTCCAAACAAAAGGGTAATGCCTTCCACTAAGTAGGGTGCAGTGGAGGAGGCAGAGGGTGAAGACCCAAAGGGGGGAATGAAGAGCAGTACCGGGTTCCAGCGGATGAGGGAGAGCTGTCAGTAATCTAACTTGTCCTTCAGGTCGAGTCAGTGAGAAATGTTAAGTTGATTAGTATTGGTTGTTCTAAATGACAGTGAGTTCAAGAGCTGATACCAGTCCTATGCCAACCCAGTTAAGTTGATTTTAGGATTGTCTGACCTGCAAACTATCTCCAAGGTTGCCACTGCTTTGGGAGGCGTAGTGTGCCATCACTTCAGATAAGATGAGAAATTTTTTAGCAATTTTTTAAAGACCCTATGAAGTAAGCTAAGCATTACGTTCTAGTCAGTTCAACAGTGCATCCACTAATAGATGATCAAACAAGAGGGGTGAGCTACAACGTTGGAAATCTTAGGTGGTTTGTGGGAATGAACATTCGATGGTGGGATCCAAATCTTTCTTTAGAAGAAGTCTCTTCCAGCTGGGAACATTGATGCAGGATGCCTTTACCACATACATGGAACTCTCGTGATCGCGACTTTTGGTGTTCCGCGGTTTGCAACCCCCGCGATTGCTGGAGTTCAGCCGTCCGGGAGTTTTTATTGACTTCTTTTTTTAGGCAAGTTTTGATCTTTTGTTTCTTTCTTTTATGGTTATTTCTTGTTTTCTTATTATTTTATTAGGTATTTTTCATTATGAGGCTTTTTTATATGCTGTATTAGGGTTTTTGATTTTCAGTTTTGATGAATTTGAGAGATTTTTTCTTTGATTTCTACCATTTGGAGTGATTTCTGCTATTTGGAGTGTTGTATTAGGATCAAGTGGTGGAGCCTCCTCACTGCCCGTATCCATTTCACCATCCAAGTTGCTGATTTCAGCCAAGGCAGCCGTTGATAATGTCAAACCTGCTGTCCAACAACAGATTTATCCCCACAATCCCTTCCAAACACCGTCAACCACACATAGTAGCCTTCTCCTTGCATTCCACAACTACCTCCCAAATACCTTATAGGCGCCTTAGAATGGTGTCAAAATGTTTCTTAATGTTACTGTTTTCATGATAATTTTTGAAGTACTTCCTGTAAAATATATAAATGCTTGTCTTTTTGAAGTTAATATTTCGGTTTATTATTGTCCTAAAATAGTTCAACTAAAATCAGAAATAAAAAAAAAAGTTATAACTTCCTAAACTGCTAGAAGTAGCAAAATAAAGACTCTTTGGATGAGTCTCAAACTTTGATAGCAATGGCAGTATAGATTTTCTTATCAAGCGAATCACAACTAGTATATTTTCATTGTGTAGGAGAAAGAACTCTGAATTGGTTGCTGAACTTTCAAGTCTGCATCGCAAGGAGCAAAAATTTCTTTCTGAGGTATGGAGATCGTGTAATTTTAATCTTCCTTTCCATACTTTTATACTCACTAAATTTGCTATCATTCTTCAAGCATACTTTTGGAAGAGATTTTTATTTTACTGAAGAGTGAAGAAGTGTCAAATATTCATTTGAAGTTAATTTTTTTTTCCAATTGCCTTGTTATTTGATTCGGTTAGGCTTTCCAAACTTGATTAACGAACTATTTTGTCATGTTGGGCAAATTTATGAAAAGGGCCAAGTCTTGAATCTTTTTATCTTTTTCTTGGATTAAAATTCTGGGGATTAACCCTTTTGATGAAAATTAAAAAATAAAGTACAAGAAAAGGCTGCATATAAAAATGAAATTGACACATAAATAAAGCAATACTAGAAACCTCAGGTTCAACAATAGCCAGAATCAGATTATTCGGTTTCTAAAGCAGCTGAAGATAAAAAAGTAGTACTTTAATATCAGAAACCTTTTTATCGGAAGCCTTAAAGATCCAAAATAAGCATGAGAGATGATATAAAGTCAGAGAACTTTCTTATCTCTAGTTATTTTAGGAGATTATCTAAAGCATTTCTCTCCTTCTAGATAATCGAAATAGCAGCAAAGAAGAATATCTCTTTTAGATCATTTAAGTTGTTTTTATTATATTTGCTCCATCTAATCAATTGAAACCTATGCTATATAATCTGGGGCGAATTGGGTTGTAATACTTTTCACAAATAAATATATGTATGGATAGCTAAATACCTATGGGTATATGTATATATATCTATATTCTGCATGTGTTCTCAAATTTTCTCTCATCTCACATAGATTCCATCTCATAAGTGCATCATTATGAACCAAACTGTAGTCATGGACCCTAAAAGAATTTTGGATTGGTTTGATCGAATTGGATTGTCTCACCCTTAACCTTAAAATTTTGTGTCACACGGAACTAATTAAAAATAATTACTATTTGGACTTTGAGTCGTCAACCAAAATGCATTTCATACATCATGGATATTGTAAATCACAAATCTTACATCTGATTATACCCTTTAAACAAGGTTACATTAGATGGAGAACCTCAACTTTCATAAATTCCCAAATTTATCTGGGATAAAGTAGTCGGTTTTTAGAGTCCCCTCAATCCAATGAACTGCTTTGCCTGGTCTATTTATGGATTTGTAGTTTTTGCTGGTCTTATCTACATAGTTTTATTAACAAGAAATGGTATGCTGCAATGAATATTTATAAAAAAAAGATTTAAACTTTTGCGCTGTATATTTGCCTTTTTTTTAATCATTTTAGGCTTGTAACTTTTTTACATTTATCACATTTCTTTTGCAGACTATTCCCCGTCTGTGTTCAGACCTTGCTCAACTTCAAGATACTTACATTTTGCAGGGTGTGTTGATTTTCAACAAATCGAAGAAATTTAATTGAACTTATATGTTAATTTAAATTCTCTAGCTTGATGTGTTTGCTTTTTGTGGTTGCAGGGGATTATGATTTAAAAGTTATGCGACAAGAGTGCTACATTAATAGGCAGAAAATGGTATGCTTTCCTTTATAATTTTTATAATTGTTATTCTGGAGAAGTCAGATAAATTTTTTTGGTTAATTCTTACAGAATCTGTTCCACATGATTAAATTTATATTCATGATTTCTATAGATGTTATGTGGCCTTCTTATATAAGTTTCATGTGGAACCTTTTCTTAGCCAGATGGAGGCTGTTTTTAAAATCTTTAATATTTTATACTGTCTATAAACTTCTCAGGTGTATTAAACGATGAACTGATGGTGCAGACTTGTTGAATCGTAGTTGAGTGTTAGAATTCAAATGAAAGTTTAGTGTTTTGAACTTTCAATCTTGGTATTTAGTAACTTCACTGATGGTCTAATTGTTACAAACTTTTTTAGTGTAACTGCAACATAAAAACAAAGAAAAATAAGTTCTCCTTTCCTGCCTGGTTATTGCTCCCTCAAATGTCTAGTTGTTAATACATACTTAGTTCTTATGTTGCTTGTAGCTTTTATTTTAAAAATAGGAAATTTACATACGTAGCGCACAATTTTTTTGTATTTACATATCTCACACGTAAACTTTCGCATACATACATACATATATATGTTTGTATGTATATATATATATGTATTTATGTATGCGTCGTCTCGTCTCGCTCTCCTTCGCGCTAGCTTCTGTCTGGTCGTCGAGTTGACGCTCTCGTTCGCTGCAATTGTTCCGTGGCTTCGACAACTGCAGTTTTTCGCCCCAACCTCTTTGGCTCGCTATTTGTGCAGCTGCCCGACTTTGGCAGGGCTTCTTCTTGCTGTGACGGAGCTTCCTTCGTCTACAGTTGAACCTGACAAAGCCTTCTTTGCCCACGTTGTGGGTAATCCTCAGAGGGAGACGACGGTTGTCTTCCCCTCAAGTTATAAGGAGCAACATGATGATATAGGTGATTGCCTCTTTATTAAGATTGCAAGCTGGAAAAGTGACAAAGCAACACTTTTTTTCTCTGATCTAGAAATTTTATAAATGACTGATAAATTCAAGTTTGCTTTTATTAGAAAATTTCAGTGGGGACACCGAACTATGAATGTTATCAGGAAAAGTTTTGATGATCTCAAATTAACAGGAAAGTGAAAAGTGTGGCTCATGGATGAGAGACACGTATTAATTTAACTAACCGTGCCTGAAAATTACACTGAGTTTTTTTCAAAAAAATATCTCTACATTACTGGTAAACCAATGAAGCTACTCAAGTGGTCTCCTGATTTTGGCCCAAGCGTGAATCTCCTACTGTACCAGTATTGTTTAGTCTACCTGGTTTCAAGCTGCACTTTTTTCATCATCACTTTTCTTTACTTTATTGGTGACATATTTGGACACTCTTTGAAGTAGATCTACCAACTTTCAACCTAACCAGACCTTCTGTGGCCGGAATACTTGTTGAAAGAGATATTACTTTACCTGATGTTACTGAAGTCTGGTTAGACACAACTTACATTGGATATTTGACAACAAATTGTTATGGAGCATAGACCTCCTTATTGTTCTCATTGTAAGATGTTTGGGTACAACCTTGATAAATGCTATAAGCTTCACCCTAATTTGAAATCTAAAGATCAAGTGAATAAGAATGAATCTGACTCCACTGTTTTGGACATATTTGTTCCATCTGGAGAGAAAATTACCACATAACAGGTTATGGTGTTTGATTTAATCTCCTCTGTGGACTCTCCCCCTGAAAATACTATTTCTGCGATCAATGAGAAGCTGGATGACCCTACTGAGCAACCAACACTTTCAAACCCTCAGTTGCAGGAAGCATCAGGTGAAGAGGAGACAATTATTGCTTCACACAGACTAGAACCTACAACCGTTGCAACAGTTGACAATCCTTCTTCTGGTGCTCATCAGCTTTTATCTGCATGGCATTCTGTTTACCAACACGATGATCAGACGAGTCAGTCTTCTAAGGAGGAATGACAGGTCTGTTCAGGGAGGAAGAAGAAGATTGGAGGTAAACTTCAGCTCGGGAATCTAATGGATGATAGTTTGGTTACTTCAAGAAATGACTCAACACTCAACAATTTGTTGTCTGGATCTCGCCCTAGAGCTAGAGGCAGAGGCAGGACTAGCCTGACTCGTCTCTAGTTACTTCTTTTCAGCGATTTTGGTATCTCTTCTCTTTTGGGTTTCCTTGTATCTCTTCTCTTTTGGGGTGTTTATGTGTGTTGTATCGTATGGGTAGGGTGCCTCTATTGGACCCTCTCATACAACCTTTATGTATCTTTCCTATTTTAATAGATTTACCCCTCGGGCTTTTTAAAAAAAAAAAAAAAAGATGTATAAAGCACTTTGGGGTTTTAATGTGTTTTAATCCTATGCATAAAGATGTGTATTTCACTTTTAAAAAGTGGTAATAGTTCTATTTTTGATGTGATATTAAAAATTTGAGTGCTATATGTGTAAATATAAATGTTTTTGTGAAGTCTCGTTTTAGTTACTCGGGGAAGAATAAATGAAGAGACGAAGGGGAAGACGAGGAAGTCGAAGAAGAGGAGAGTAGTTGGGAAGATGAAGCAAGAAATAAAATATTATAATCTCCATACTATTCGAAACAAATCCAAGGTCTAGAAAAATATAAAACAATTCTTTATAGAGAAACTAACTCTGAAATGAAATTTGTTACATGCTAGATCACACTCGATGGCAACCACCCAAGATGTAAACTATCAATCAAGATATCCAATGACTCGCTCAATAAGGATGTTTTTTGTGGTATTGGCTCTTTGCCACATTATTTTCTATGACAACTAATGTTAATCGTGTTGGAGGCTCACTCATGGGCTTAGCTGGAACCACTAGCACTTCTTTTTTGTCAGTTGGAAGTTGAGGTTCTTTTCTGACATCCTCATTCTCTCCCGTTTAACTGTTCTTTTCTTCAACTGCTTCCTGCTGTGTGGTAGAGTTCATTCTTTTGTTTGGGCAATCTAATGCACAGTGCCTAAACCCGTTGCACTTAAAGCACTTCCTTGCCGGGATGGATCTGAGAGTGCTTGTTGGCTCCACTTTTTCTCCATTTTGAATTAGTTTTCTCCGACGCGGTCTGCTGGAATGCTACACTGGGTGTACTCTTGCTACCTGATCCTTGAGTTGAATTTTATCTGTAAAGTGTGGTTGACGTTGCTATTTCTCCACCTTCAAAGTTAGTATATTTATGTCGAGTATAGATCATTACAGTTACAGCTGTATCACATTCCTAATAGACGACCTTGGTCCACCAAGATACCTCGTTCTTGTGTGTTTTTCTAATTCCACCAATTTACATTTTAGCATGAATTGATCAAATTTAACCGTTTACTCCGAAGAAGAATCTCTCTGGCGTAGATGGTGGAGTTTAATGTATATATTCTGTTGGTAATGAAGGGGAATATATTTGCGTTGAATCTTTCTTTTCTTCTTGGACAATATGGTGATCTTACTTTTACCATCTCCTTGCTGAATACACTTTAGATTCTCCCACTATAATGAAGCATTCTTCTAAGCTTAATGACTACCAATTTAACTCTCTTGTTCTTAAGAACATCCTTGTACTAAAAATTTGCTCCACGATTTGAAGCTCCTTGATAATTCATCTGGATCCATGCGACTGTCTAAATGAGGTTAATCCACCTTTGCTCCAAGATCATTTCTCCTCTGATATTCCATGCCAAATTGTTGAGGTAGTGGATTTTCATTATTGGAAACTTCCTAGTGAAAGGGGTTCACTTCTTCCACTCAATTTGACGAGCCACCATTGTGACTACGGGTAACCTTACCAGCTTCACTACTCTAAAAAATGAATAGTCTTTACTGCAGTTGGAGGATTTCTCGCTGCATATACTTCATAATAAGTTCATGGATATCTCGTTGAGGGTTTTTCTTTGGCGATATGACGTCCTTTTCTCCTGATCAGATTTTTGGCGGATGTAAGATTACAAATCAATGTTGGCTGGAAGATTAAGTTTTGTTGCAGGGGGTAGAGTGATATTTTGATGGCGCGAGGAAGACTGGATTTGAAAATTTTGGACCTATGCCTAGTCATAACGGTAGGGATGGTTTGCGTGTGGTGGGAATTTTTTTTAATTTTGAATTTGATAAAAAAAAGACAATTCCCCAAAAATTTTAGTGTTAGTTGGGTTTGATACCAAATAATACCATTCTAGGGCTCTTAGAAAGTGTTAAAGCAACATATTTAGTTGGTTGGTGGTCTTGGAATGGTAAGCAGATGAGAATAGTGGTGATCGACGACGTTCAGAAGGGGATATGGGTCAAAATAAGCTTTTGAACAGCTTTTTTGTGTTGTTCGACAGCTATCACTTAGGTAGAAACTAGAGATTACTGACACGGAGTAGGACGCTTTCCGCGAACACGTATGGATGTTGGAAGTTGAGGCACAAGGGCATGAGTGTGATGGATAGCCGCTGGAGGTTGCAACATAACAGGGAGCCGCTCTTGTTTCCATGATCTTGGCTCGTCTGGATTGAATCGGTCTAGACCCGAGAGAGCCGACCGACTCTTCCACGTGGATTTGGCATTTTTTTAATAGGGGGATTCAATCTTAGGTATCTAGGGCTAATGTATGTGATTTCTGCTTAGAGGTTTTTAGTTTTTGGCATCGACATCCTCCTCCTCTGCTAGGGCTATATTTGAAGACGAGAAGGTGCTCCGACTGTAATTTGGTTGAGATGACGATCGTTCCTCAAAGATTGAATGGTGCTCCGGTTGTAGTTTGATCATGCAGAAATATTTATCCTCAACCTTTCCACTCCCTCGCAACCCCCCTTCACCACCGCCATCATTGTATTCACTGCAACCATCTGGAAACAATGTCCTTGCTGTTTTCATGTAGCTGCGAACCATCTAGCTCCCTCCAACCTTGCAATCATCCCTCACCGCTGCCTTCCAGCGCCCAGCCAGCCCCTTTTCTGCCACCTACCCGCTGCTTCCAACACCCATCCAACCCCTCTTCTGCCACCTACTCGCTGTCCCGACCTGACGAAA